GCATCCTGCTACTATTGACCCTCCCGTGATCATATTGATGATTCCATGAAGGGGTTGTTTTACTTGCAGTGGGTCTCGAGGAGGCTAATCTCTATCTTGCTCCTTACTCATCTGAGGTGTCTCTCTATGCTCATTTGAGCTTCTGCCTTAGGTATCCACGATGGATCAACTCCTCAATCTCGTCCTTTAAGTTTTGGCAATTCTCAATATCGTGACCTATGTCTTGATGGAAATGACAATACTTATTAGGTTTTTTGTTTGCAGGGTCACCCCTCATCCTAGGTGACCTTTTTATATATTCTGTTATTTTTATTTGCATTAAAATTTTGCCCCTTTTGGCATTTAGGGCGGTATAGTTCCTATTCTAGACTGGTGGGGTTCTGGATTGCCGACCCAATCCTGAACTCTAGTGGGGAGACTTGTTTTTTCTTCTTGGTGGCTTGCTTCGCTTGCTGCGAGTTGACCAACTTCTCTTCGGTGACTTACTCTTTCACTACTGCTTACTGCTCCCCGCTTCTTCTTCTGCTCACTTTCTCTTTCCATACAGCTTTAACCGGGATCCCAACACCTCTTCTGCCTTTGTGAACTTATCAGCTTCGGTGAGGAACTCCTCCATGGAGGTTGGGGGTCTAGCTTGATTTCCCAACATAAATCGGAGTGGCAGACGTCGTTTATTGCCACGGTGAGTTGTACTGTCGGGTTGAGGTTGGAAATTTGGTGACGCTCCAGGTTGAATCATTTAACGTACTCACGGAGTGTCATTTAGTTGCTGGACGACATTCAGTAGGCAGTTCGAGGACTTTGGGCACCTCTTACTCGTGGCGAAGTACATGGTGAGCAGGTCGGCGAATTGGTTTCAGCCTTTTATAGAGCTGGCGGCCAGTCCCGAGTACCACATCCGAGCATGCCTCGAAATGTCATCAGGAAGGCCATGAATAGGCTCACATCATTAGCCCCGTGTAACTACATTAGGGCTTGAAAACTATCAATATGGTCCACGGGGCCTGTTGTTCCATCATAGGATTCGAGACTAGGGGCCTTGAAGCCTTTAAGTCGTAGGGCCACGAGTATCTCGGCAGCCAACGACGAGGTGCGGGATATCTATCATGTTGGCAAGTTGCTAATCTGATTGGTCTCCTTTTTCTCATTTCTTTTGTCCACCTCACTCATAGATAAGGCGAGTTGACTCTTTTTTGAGGTGTTGTGTATACATCTATGACGCCTCCTTCAGGACACTTCGATCGAGCTAGCGGCTTCTGTTCCGATGGGTGCCATAGCTCAGCTCTGGTCTTCCACTGGGGGCTGGTTCAGGTTTTGATCAGTAGCCTAGTTAGGGTTTAGCCCGATGTTCTATTGTTGTTGTTGCTGCCGCAGCTGATTGGGGTTCAGCTTGGCATTCTACTGTTGTGGTTGTTGTTGTTGTTGTGCCCTTAGCAAGGTAGTGAACCGTTCTTTCCATGCCCTCATTTGTGAGTTCATCCCCCAGACACATTGCACCAACTCATGGAACTGACGCACATCATTTCCAGTAGGATCTGTGGAGGGCTCAACTATAGGAAGAGGCGCGTTCACCCGAGGTGGTGGAAAAGCTAAGTTCAGCATAGGCGGGACGCTTGGAGGAGTCAAAGGCACATTGATTTGCTTGATTGTCATAGAGGGACCTCTGGGATTAGTGCGGGTTGGTCTTGCCCCCCAGTGACTTGGCTGTTGTTATTGTTGTTGGTTGGTTGGTTACTTGAAGAAGCCATTGATGTTATTATAAAAGTATTGGAGAGGTGAGAACTTAGCTTTTTATAGCATTTCCCATAGATGACGCCAATTGATGTTGCGCAATCTGACAACTCTCACTTGGCAGGTGACTTGAACGCCAAGTTGGAGGTTTCCTTTGTCGAAGCCCAAGTTGAGTAGTTCTGCAAAAGAGCAATATTAGAGTGCCTGGGTTGTTTTACCCAAGGAGGGCACTCCGATGTTCAAGTCAACGAATAGTTTTTTGGAGAATTAGAGAGTATTGGAATGCTTGGAAGTTTAGAGAGTACAAGAGCTGAATCGCGGGTACCTCTTAGAATGGAAATGAGACCTTTATATAGGTGTGAGGGATTAGAGACCCTCTGTAATGGGTCCAAGATTCTAGGAGGGCCATTTCTGCTAAGTTGGGAGAGAATATCTCCACCGGTTACGTAATCTGCACAGAGAGCTAAGCTCCATCCGATTGACGCTGATGCGGGCAAGCCAACTTAACGGTTAAGCATTATCATTCCGAAGAACTCGGTCTTAGTAACGGGTCTATGTAATAAGTTGGCGAGCACACCTTGCAAGTTGCCACTTATACCCTACTTAGCTCGGCCGGTCCCGAAGGAGGTCATTCCTTATACGAAGGACCTTTAGGTCGGCCAGGTCGGGGTACTTTAGATCGGCCTTAGGCGAGGCGCTATTAGCCGACCTGCCAGGGTGATTTGCTTACTCAGTGCTGAGGTATCACTTAGATGCCATGTGTTGTGATGTTATTTGGAGGACCAAATTACCCTTCATCATCCCTATTTTCTTCTAATTCATTGTTTTATTTATTTGTTCCAAATCTACTTAGAAGGGAATTAATTCTACATATGTTATTTTTTTTACGCCTTTACATTTTTTATTTGTCTCAAACCATTTTGTTAACATACTATCTTTCACCCCCTCCTGATTAAGAACTACAATCCATATTTGGATTATATGGGATTATCCATTTGTTATTAACTTCAACAAGATTTTTTATTAACTTTTTTTCATCATTCCATCATCAATAAAAGATGAATCCATTGTTATTTACAGTCTATTTACAAAATGATTTTAAGTATCCTTTAAAACATTTACCATCAACTATATATAGACTACTTAAATTGTTTTCACCATAGGGGGTTATGCATCATGTACCGAATAACTGTTTTATATAAGAGTGAATCACTTTTCTTTGTAAAATAAATTTTGCATATACAATAACATTGATGTCATTAATTAAAATAGGTTTACATTGATTTACCAAATTTATAAGTATGTAGGCATGTGGAAAGCCTTTTTTTTAAATTTTATTATGTAAACACTTGCAATAACATCCACAATTAGTTTTTTTTTTTTCAAATCATAAATCAACTATTTAAATTTAAGTTAAAATACCCTACCAGTTAAATCATGTCGATCTTCTACTTATTGCCATGGTATTCATTGAAGTTCTTCTATTAGCTCTAGCAATTTTGGGTTATAGATGAAAGTGATATAAAGATCAAAAGGTCTTACCCATCTACATATTACCATTGCAATATGTAATAAACTCAAAATGTTTCTTTTCTTGTTTCTTAGTAATAAACTCTCCTTTAAGAAGAATGAAACTTGTGCTAATTGTGGTGAAGAGGAGGATGTGGACCATATTTTTAAGGACTGTATTTATGCAAAACTAGTATGGTATGCTATTGGTCCTTGACTTATTAGTCCTAGGGAGGAGGATATCTTGATTTGGAGTTGGTGGTGTAGAATTTGGGAAATTAGAGGTGGATGTGAATACCAATTTGCCATCGAGAGAGTGTAACTATTTTATGGTTTTTTCTGTCAAAATCAAAACGAAAAATTGTTCAATAATAATGTAATACCCCCACCTACATTGCTTGAGAAAGCTTTAATATTTTTCTTGATCTTAAAGACAACTTTAGTAATATTGATGGACAATCAATGAACCGATCTTGAAAATTCATTAAGTGGAAGAGTCTAAAGTGGGGAAGCATTAAAATTAACTTTGATGCCTCTCATGACCCCAATGGTTTATGCTCTATTGCTTGCATCGCTAGAAATCATCATGGTGAAGTTCTAGATCTTATTATTTAGGTGTTACCACTATTAATCTTGGGGAGGCATGGGCTGTTTGGGAAGCTCACAATATCACCCTTAACTTTAGAAACTAGTCAATTGTCATTGAAGGAGATTCCAAGCTTATTATCTGCTTAAGAAAAGTGGTGAATCTCCATAGAGACTGAAGATTGTGATTAATTAGTGTCGTCATTTATGCAGCTTCATGGATCTTGGAGTCAGATATCGTCATGCTTTTTCTGAAGCAATCAAGCAGCTAACTGGTTGACACATGTCACCTTCAATGAGTCTTTGTTGGTCTCTTGCTTTTATTTGTTTTTGTAATGTTTGGGGTAGTGCTATCCCTTGCCTCGTGTAGCACAATTTCTAATTTTACCAAAAAAAAAAAAAATTAGAGCCCTAACTAGTGTTTTCAATCCATTGGTGTCCTGGCTAGTTGAACCATTCAAATTGTCACCCGGCCAAGATTTTGGGTCCGATTCAGTCAAGACCCACCAAACGGTTAAAAACCGTTGATTTAGTCAAGAACCATTCGACCTAATGACTGGGTCATGGGTTGCACACTCAATACATGCAAACTTTGTACTCCGATGTCTGATTGAGGTGATTTTTTTTTTATTTTTTATTTTGGGTAACTTTTTGAGATCTATGCGCATCGTAGCCTTTTTAGCCTCAAATTGTAATTTTTAATATTTTTTATAAATAAAAAAATTAAAACTGAATTAAAAAACATAAATTAAATATAAAAATATATATAACACATGGTTTTCAAAACCAGACCAAACCTGACAGTCGGACCGGAAAAATCGGGAAACGGTCAGGTGACTAGTTCCATTTTGCCCCAAAAACATTGATTTGGTCAACAAATCGTTGACCCGAGCGTTCAAACCGTTTAGCGGTTCTGTCCGTTTTTTATTTTTTTGTCAGAATGTCTATTTGACTCGAATGATCGGGCCGTCCGACCTGGGAATTGGACCCCTGACCCGTTCAACCCGAACGGTCGAACCGGTGACCCGCGACCCGGAGGAAAACGGTTCGGCCTCCGGGTCGGTTTTTAAAACATTGGCACTAACGGTTCTACTTCTACTCGGAATACTGATCAATCACGATCTACCAACCACCACGTGAGCCCCATATGCTTTAGTTCTCTCTCTCGCTCTCATTCATTCGTGGGTTATCTATATCGGCATTTCGGTTGAACGGCCTTGTGTGGCCTCTCCCGCCTTGACGCCTTGAACTCTCTGTATCATACCACAAACGTGTAGATAGTAGAAAAAGAGACACAACCTGCACTCTCGGCCTCTCGCAAATGGAAACTTTATTCGCTACAGCGCCCACCGGTCTGAGATGTGGATTTTCTCCTCCTTACCATCAGCTGGTATTTTCTTCTCTTTCCTTTTGATTTACTAACAGTTCCTATGCTCCCTCTTAAGACTTGAGTTAATACGTACGCTTTCTGGGTTTTCTAATTTTCCCGTTCTGTTGTACGTTTTTTGTTCTTCTTATTCTTCTTTTCTATGCATTAAAACCCAGAGATCATGGCTTCAAAGATGGAAAATTGGGACTGGGGGACCGGTGAAAGGAAAAGCATTTTTTGCTACGACTTCAACAAAGTGGAGGAGGTAATTGATGCTTCTGCTTATTTAGTTAATTTATGTTGAATTACCTATTACCTCTAATTGTGCTTGGTTTTTTTGTCCCGACAATCACGATCTTTTGCATGCTCTCGAAGTGCTACAATTGGTATTTTGGAGTTTGTTTCTTGCCATACTTTTGGTCTGTACGAGTGATTTCATATGAAAGCGGATAGAATTATTTGCTTGCTTGGTTTAGTAGAGGGATTGGTTATTTATTATTTTTACTTTTATTTTGCTTGGTGATACCGATTTGGCCTTAGAACTTTCCAGTCTCAGACTCGGGTGCCGTATGAAAGTCTGAAGTTTGATTAGATCTTATTGGGATAATAATTTATTTTTATGTCTAAATAATTTGTTTCTGACATCTCTAGACGATCATGTTGGAGTTCTTGATCAGAGTATCCATTATAGTTTATTCTTTATGAACATGAGTATGAGGAGCATCCTTGTCGTTTAAAACTTTTAAAAGGATATAAGGAGTACAGAAAACACTTCTACGAAGTGACAAGTGGTGATTCAATCATTTAACTAATTAGAGAAACTTTTCAGATATAAGTGCATCAATTAGAGAGATACCAAACACAGTAAAAAAGTCTTAAATGTAAATCAGAGCATGTTGATTTACAAAAACCTATATAGAAAATTGCAGATATCAACTTTTGCTAAATTTTTGGCTATATACTTGTAACTTATTCAGTCGCTACACTTTGACATTACTCTGCCCATTTGGTTTGGGCGACCTGGCCAACCTGTCTGGTTCTTCGTGAATTTCACTTTTGCATTTTCAAATGAATTATGGTCGGTTATGGTTGATTAGTTGTGGACTGACTGGCATGATAGAATTTTTTCCCCTTATGACTAATCTCAGGGCACCCTAAAAGAGTTACAGAAGAAGGAAAGTTGTTATTTACACTTTTTGTTCCGTTTGGGGGTTTTAGTTGTCTTATACTTTTTGCTTATGCTTTCTAATTGAATGCTTTCAAGTATCTTTCTTTATCTTTCTGTGTTTTTATCCTCGTATTTTAGATTTGAAGCTGGATGGTCATGTGAGTTTCATTTTGTTTAGAGGATTATGACCAGCTGCATATTTTGGTTGTGCTTGATATTCCATTTATAATAATTCCTCATCCAATATCTAATGGACGGAACTATTGATGGTAAATGATATGTTTGGGTTTAATAAACAGGAGAACTTTGATATGTGCAGCCAATCAAGATGCTGAAAAATTATTTAAAAGGACTGTGGAAGTCGATAAGCTGATTGATATGCTGAGGGATGCACATGCAAATGAAGTAAGTTGATAGCTCCATGCACTTTATTTTCCATTCTCAACTGAAAAGCTTTAGAATTAATTATGATATTGGGATATTTTATTTGATTCTTTTCTATTCTCTTGTTGCCATTGCTAGTTGAAGGTTCAAACTTATCTCCTATATTTTGTATTAATATTGCTGGGTCGGTGTTTAAACTTTTAAACTAGAAGGAAATGAAAGATGTTTTTTTTTTTTGATAAATCAAAGGACTATATTATCAAGGGCAAAGTAATCTTACATTTGAGAACTAGGAGGAACAAGATGTACGGCTAGTTATGTTTGCCAAGGAACTCTACTAGAAGTGACCATATCAAGATTCAGGGCATTGAAACAATACAATCTATCTCAGTTTTTTGGAGTATAATATTAGTGAATAGTGTTCTCTTGATAAAACTAGGAGAAAACAATAAGAAAAGAAGGAATGAGGGAGAAGAGAGAAGAGAAGGGAGAGGAGAAGAGAGGAAGAGAGAAATAATGATTAGAGAGCCAAAAAACATGCTAGCGGTGCCAACTTTTCTATTTATATATTAGGATGACACAATATAACATAAAAGAATATAAAAAGACCATAGTACCCCTATGGCACATATTACATATCTATTAACAGATTTAACACTCCCCCTTAAATTGGGACTTTAGATGTCAATCATGCCAACTTGTCACATAGGTCATTGTGAAGGTGTCTGGAAGTTGCTCTTTAGAGCTCACATATGGAGTGCACACTTCTCCACTTACATGTTTCTCCCTAATAAAATGTTTGTCCACTTCAATGTGTTTTGTTCTGCCATGGAGGACTGAGTTGGCTGTGATATTGATGGCAGCCTTGTTGTCAAAATAGAGTGACATAGGACTATCGACTGTAATTGCCAGTTCACCTAACAAGTTCTTTATCCACATAATCTTAGCAACTCTATGGGACATAGCTCTGTACTTTGCTTTTGCATTAGACCTAGCCACCACACTCTATTTTTTTACTTCTCCATGTGACTAAGTTGCCTCCCACAAAAGTACAATATCCATTGGTAGATTTTCTGTCATCTACTGTCCTTGCCTAGTCAACATATGCATACACTTCAAATTTCAAATGCCCATGCTTTTGGAACAACAAACCAACTCTTGGAAATTTCTTAAGGTACCCAAGAATCCTCTAGAAAGCTTCAAAATGCATGGTCTTGGGATTATGTATAAACTAACTGAGGACACCCACGACATAAGCAATGTCGTGGGTGGTCATAGATAGATATAGAAGTCTCCTTACGAGCCTCTAGAATTGCTTCACATCTTTTATAGGTTCTCCCTGACTGCCACACAACTTGTGATTTGGATCAATTGGCTTCACTCCTAACCTTCTCTTGTCCTCCAAGAGATCTAGGACATATTTCCTCTTTGAAATGAAGATCCTCTTTTGTGAGCGGGCGACTCCAATTCCAAGGAAATAGCATAAGGGACCCAAATCTTTCACCTTAAACTGAGTAGCCAAGAATTCCTTCAGTTTCTGAATTTCAATTATCCAATCACTAGGTATCACTATGTTATCAACATACACAATCAGGGCTACATTTTTTTTTTCACCCCTCTTTACAAATGATGTGTGTTATGACTAACATTGTTTAAACCCCACCTGCTGCATGACCGAACGGAACTTACTAAACCATGCCTACGGTAATTGCTTCAACCCATTATTTAAGGATTTCTTTAACCTGCATACCTTTTGCTCATTACCTTTGGCACAAAAACTAGGAGGCTGAACTATGTACACCTCCTCTTCCAAATCACCATTTGAGAAAGCATTCTTGTTATCCAACTGGTGAAGATCCTAGTAAAAAATAACTGCCAATGAAAGAAGTAATCTAATAGAATTCATCTTAGCTACAAGGACAAAAGTCTCCACGTAGTCCACTCTATACACATGTATAAATTCCTTTGTCACCAAATTGGCTTTGTATGTTTACACTATACCATTAGCCTGATGATTTACTGTGAACACCCACTTACATCCCACTAGTTCTTTTCCCTTAGGAACAATGTTCTGAAAATCGCAATCGTATCATAAATCGTAAAGGGGTTTGAATTGAATCACATTGTAAATCGTAAGACTTCTTCTTATTTTTTAAAAACTGTTAAAAACTCTAAAATATACCTAAATCTCTCAAAAAATAGAAAAAATGACTTTGCACAAGCTTTTTAACCCATAAACATCTTATAACTATATAGTAATGTCACGCTTATAGTTACACTAGTGACTAGTGTCAATAAAAAGCAATATCTTGGAATATGAATGAATATGAGGTTTACATGACAATGACAATATATCCAAGACTTTAGTTTAGTCAACAAAAAAGATGAGGCAACCCAATATACTATTTAGGTTACCTACACAAAATATACAAAAAAGTGCCCCACTATGCACAAATATATATAACAGTATAGCCCTATAAATGTTCTGTATAAGTTCATATGCCAACTAAAAAACTAAGAACTAAGAATCCTTATCCGTCAAAATATATCAATCATCATCCTCTCTATCATTATCCTCATCATCATCATCATCATCATCATCATCATCACTATTATCATCAACAAGTTGAATGTCTTCATCTTCTTCTTTATCTGGTGAAGAAACAAATTTGTCTTCATCTTGAAGCTGGACTGTCCCTTTTCTTCTCCCCTTGTGTAAATCCCTAGGACCTAAGGTAGAGGCGTAGAGCAAATTATGATTATTTGAATAAAATAATAAAGTTATAAATTATAAATTATAATAATAGAAAATTAAAACCTACCATGTTTCCTTCACTTATCTACAACTCCTTCAACTTTAGTAAAACACTCTCCCATATCCATCCATGTTGTATCATCAGAAAGGGCAGGATCTTCCTTCTCAGTTATCCATTCATCATCTGACTCCATGTCTAATAGACAAATTGGACCAAGCCCTTGCTCAGCTTTTTTCTTCTCATGGCAGATCCCAAGTTGGCGATTGTATTTAACAAACACCAAAGCATTCAATCTCTTTTGTTCTAAATGATTCTGTTATGGACGCATTCGTGGGGAAGAAGTACCGCCGCCGGCAGCAGCAGTAACGTGGGACCCTCATCAGATTATCTAGCTAGCCACAGTTCATCTTACCTTATCCTTATCTTATCTGCTTTCTTACTCTTATCTTATCTGTTCCAATAAGGA